ATGAGAGAAAGAGAAAGGTCTTCCTTCCGTCGGTTCACCTCCCAAATGGCCACTGCGCCAATCCGAAGGCAGGAGCCAGGTGCTTCTCCTGGTCTCCCAAGCGGGTGCAGGGCCTAAGCACTTGGGCCATCCTCCACTGCCTTCCCCGGGCCACAGCAGAGAGCTTGCCTGGAAGAGGGGCAGCCGGGACAGAATCCGGCTGCCCCAACCGGACTAGAACCTGGGGTGCCAGCGCCGCAGGCAGAGGATTAGCCAAGTGAGCCGTGGCACCAGCCTGGGTTCTTTTGGAGGCTTTGTACGACCCGGTTTGTTCGTGTTTTCTTGTATCTGTGTTGACATCTGCCCATCTGGTGTATTCCTCTCTGTAAAGAGTAGGCTTTATTGTGAAAGGGTTTATGGTTTAGCTGGAATGCAGGGTATCGCTTGGCTTGTTGCTTTGGCTTTGGTTGTAGGTGAGCCCAGGAAGATAGTTCCTGTGTGATTTCTTTTGTCTTAATCAGTGGACCAGTCTGCTGCAGTTCACAGGGATAGAAGCGTGGCCTTGAGATGAATAAAGGTTCCCAGGGCATGTATCTTTGATCCATTATTTCAGTGTCGGTCTCCCTGGTGACGTGATAGCCAGGGCCTTGTTCTTGGTGCTGAAGGAGATAGTGTTGGCTGCTGTCCTACCAGCAAGCCTGAGTGATGCTGGGGATTTGTGGCAACAATTGCTATGGCTCTAGACTGTGTGATACAGATGGCCCCTTCCTCAGGTCCTGCTAGGAGAGTCTAGCTGGTGCTGTGGCTTAGAACACCAACAAAACTACTCCTAGGACTAGGGGGTGTGAACTGGCTCTGGTGGCTACAGGCGTACAGGAGATTGGACTCTGGGGGATGCAGGTGGGTTCTCCCTGATGTCCACTGGGTAGATTGCAGTGGCAGCAAGAAATTCAGAATGAGTTGTTACAATCCTGGTGTTGCAGGGTGTAGTGGGTCATTACCCAGATCTCCCTGGATGGGAACAGATTTTGTATGGACTGCTGCTGGTGTTAGCTCCCAGAAGCTGAGGCGCCTCCCCCTTGCTCATGTAGAATACGTGAGCATAGCACTGGGGCTACCGCCCAAGAACTCCTACAGTTACTGGGTGCAGGGGATCTTGGCTTTGCCCCACTGTTGCCCTGACTCTGGTACTGGGAGAATGGAAGCACAGCTCTGTGTGGGTGGCAGAGGAGAGGGGAGGGGGCACGTCGGCTTCCCTGCTGCAAGCCTGGCAGTTGCTCAGACCCCAGCAGCTCTCCAGGCGCAAGTAAAGGTCAGTGGGTGACTGTGGGGTTCGCTCTGAGCCTACAGTGTGAGCGGTGGGTGCCCAGCAATTCCTGCTGCCTTGGCGTGGTAGGCTGGCTGTGCTGTGCTGGCCGTGCGCATGGTTGGCTGCAGTGATCTCTGTCTTCTCTCCTCGTGTCCCATGGAGCCTTTGTTTTCTTGCTTTTTCCACTTCTTCACTGAGAATTTCCACCAGACCCCTGGAAACATAGTCCTTCCTTTTATTTTTTTATTTATTTGAAAGGCAGAGTTAGAGGCAGAGGCAGAGAGAGAGAGATCTTCCATTTGCTGGCTCACTCCCCAAATGGCCACAAATTGGAGCTGGGCCAATCAGGAGCTAGGCATTTCTTCTAAGTCTCCCATGTGGGTGCAGGAGCCTAAGGATTTTGGCTGTCTTGCACTGGTTTCCTAGGTCATAGCAGAGAGCTGGATCCGAAGTGGAGCAGCCAGTTCTTGAACTGGTACCCATATGGGATGCCGGCACTGCAGGTGGTAGCTTTACCTGCTTTGCCCCAGTGCTGGCCCCATTCCTTTGTTCTTTTCATATCCCAGAGCAGCTTGAGTTAATGTGGCTATACCGTATTCAGCCATCTTGCATCTCTCCTATGCAGTTTTTTTTTTTTAAGGTTTATTTATTTGAAAGTCACAATTACAGAGAGAGGGTGAGGAGGAGGGGGAGGGAGAGGGGATAACTTCCACCCTCGGTCCACTCCTCAGATGGCTGCAATAGCTGGGGGTTGGCCAGGAGGAAGCCAGGAGCTCCTTCCAGTTCTCCCACGTGGGTGCAGGGGCCCAAACACTTGGGCCTTCTTGTGCTGCTTTTCCCAGGCCATTAGCAGGGAGACAGATCGGAAAGGAGAAGCCAGGACTTGAACCGGCACCTGTAAGGGATGCTGGCATGGTGAGCAGCAGCTTTATTGGCTAAGCCACAGTGCCGGCCCTGGGGGTTGGTTTCTGAATGAGAATTTAGAGGACAACAGAAACTCAGCCTTTGGAATAGTCAAATGAGGACACTCAGCTGGGTCATGGAAAGGTTGATGGGTTCCCCAAAGGGCCTCCGGAATATATTTGGGTGCCCTAGGGGTCAGGGGTCACATAGAAGAATTCCTGGCTCTGAGCAGCAGTCGGGAGACTCTGGGAGAGTTGGGGCGGGTCTTGCCAGCTCGTGGTGTCCTCAGCTGGGCCGTCACAGGCCCCTCCCTGCACCCCACAGCGAATACCGTGACTTCAGTTCTTACTCCACTTTCTTCCCTCCCCTGCGGTTTCTGTCACTCTGATTCAAGGACGCAAGGCACGGATGTTGTCTTCCCTATCAAAGTATCCGCTCCGTAGGCATCTGCCACGTGTCTGAGCCAGCGGGGTGCTTCCTATACAGCGCCCCCTTGGAGTGGGTGTTCACATCCCTTGCAGGGCAGTCTGAAGTCACGCAGCTCACAGGGGCAGAGAATGTGTTTGAACTCGGCCTGCTGCTGCTTTCCCATCTGCAGACCTCAGACTGCCTCCTTCCTCACACACGCTCACACGCTCACGCACGCCATCCGCCTTAGCCATCGACAACTCCCTTATGTCTGGCTGGAACTTGAAGCTTCCTGGCTTAGCAGATTGCTCGATGAGGGGACAGTCCCCTTAGCCCAGCACCTCCGTCTCCATGCCTGGCGTCACTGCTGCGGGCTCCAACAGGCCCTGGCTTTGAGGGGGTACAAGAGTAGGGGAGAGAGCAACCCCTGTGGGCTTACGAGCCACAGCAGCTGTGGCCCTCTGGCAGCCAGGGCACCCATTACGCCGCCTTGCATGTCTAGACTATGCCTGTGACATGCCCGAGGCCCCAAGGGTCATCTTGCCTCAGCTGCCCCAGTGCGGGCCCCACAGTCCCTCCCTCCTCACCCACCTGGGCCCGGAAACGGTTGCCTCAATTCGGCTCTGTAGCTCCGGGGCAGGAACTGGGCCAGAGTTCTGGGACTGGGTTTGAAGCAGAGCAATTTGCGTCAGTGCCTTGGCCAGGTTCCCCAGCAGCCAGGGGGGACACCTTGTAAATGTTCTTGGAGCCTGTCCTGGGAGCTGAGGCCAGGGAAGTGAGCGGGAGGGTCACTTTGTCCCAGGACTGCCCTGGCCATGCAAGTCTCCACCCTGACATCTGTCCACCCCCGCCAGGGTTCATCCTGTCTTCCCTCCTCACCTGGGGGCTAGGCACACACACTCAACCAGGAGTTAGTTCTGATTTTATTTATAATATAAAAATGTTCAAGTGTCAACAGTCAGGTGTTTGGACATCTCAGGACAGGGTGCCCATTTATTTCTGTTTGGGATGTAATTTTTTTTTTAAACAATGACCTTTTTGACAAATTAGCAGTGGACCCAGTTGTGGGGGTGGGAGGGCAGGACTGGAAGTCGTAGGTGGGTTGGGGCTGGAGGGTGGGCTGTGAGAGGGACACGTGTTGTTTTATTGCTAAGAGGCGAATCGAATACACTGAGTGGCTCTTCTCGGTCCCAGCGTGACCATGCATCCGATCTAGAGTCTGAAATGCAAAGGACATGCAGGCGTAAAGTAGAAAAGACGACCTGTAAACGAAGGTGCTGCGGTGGAGGCCGTGGGGGAGCAGGCGCCGCCCCCTCCCTGGGCCCGGGCTGTCGGGGCGACCTCCTCAGCCCCTCCCGGAGCAGCTGTGAGGAGCGGGGAGCCACCTCCCCTTTCGGTGCTGCCGCTGGTCTTTGTCTCCCTCTGGAAGTCACCTGACTCCCTCATGCTCCTGCCTGGCGGCAAAGCTCCCGCTCAGGGCCGAGCCTGGTGACGCCCCTCCCACCCGGCCGCCCAGGAGCCCAGAATAGCGTACAGCAAAAGGCACCACAATATAAGTTTCTAGTAAAGAGTCAAAAAATTGGCCCATCTCTCTTTTTTTTGTTTTTGTTTTTTTTTTTCGAAGCTGTAAATCAGGATGTTACATATAAATAGTTTCCCTATAAAAACGTCTTTGCCGTTAGCTAGTATTATAAGACAATTTTTGCTAAAATGAAAATAAAACATTTTGTTATACTTTTTTCCTTTTATAGAAAATAAAAATATTTTTATTTCTTTTTTTTCCTCCTCTCTCTCTGCGGTCGGTGGTCTCTGTTCGCCATAAAGACAGTGGGGCGGGCGAGGCGGAGGGGCGGCAGGGCCCTCTAGAGGGGCGCCGAGTCCTGCTTGGTGCGCGCGGGCGGCCCGCGGCTGTGTCTGCTGCTGGCCCGCGTGCTGTGGCTGTCCAGGGAGTAGTAAGTCCTGCTGTCGGCCGCGGGGCAAAGCGGCGGCGAGTCCGAGCGCAGCGCGTCGTGCGCCGCGCGCAGGCCGAGGAACGGGGTGCTCTCGGCCGCCAGGGCCCCGTCCGCGTCGTCGTCCGAGGCCGAGGCCGAGCCGCCGCCCGAGCCGCTGCTCAGCGACAGCGAGTCCCGCGCCGCGCGTGCGCGCTGCGCCGCCAGCCCGTTGAGGCGCGAGCGGCGCCAGCGCCGGGGCCCCGCCGACGTCCTGCGGGACGCGCCGCGCGTGCGCTGCCGCGGCGGCGGCGGAGCGCACTCCTGCGTGGTCTCGTACTCGTCGTCCTCCGGGATGCGGAAGGGGCTGGCGGGCAGGCTGCCCAGGCTGCCGCCCAGTGCGCAAGCCCCGCGCCGCGGCCCGGGCCCTGCCGCCGGGTAGTAGTAGCTGTCGTAGCTGCGCTGCATGTCCGCGCCGGGGCCAGGGCCGGGCCCGGGGCCCGGGGGCGCTGGGTGCCGCAGGAGCGGCTGCTGCTCCGCCAGGCGGTAGTTGATGGGCGCGGCGGGCGGCAGCGACACCGCATGCGCCGAGTTGGGAGACGTGATCTCGAAGGTGGGCACCTGCGTGGCCAGCGAGTAGTGGAAGTCCACGGGCGACAGGCGCGCGGGCGTGGTCAGGGCTGACACGTACCTGCGGGGAGAGGCAGAGGTGTGGATCGGGGTGCCACCCGAGGTGGCCTCCTTGCCCGGATCCCACGTGTGAGAGGGCTGGGGGGTGGAGGGGACTCTCATCCGTTGGTACCATCGCGTGCTGGGGGACTGGCCGGGCCCAGTGCCTGACTCATGGTCATTGTGTGGAGAAGCTCACGGTCGGCGGGGTCAGCCTCGGGTCAGGGCATGTTAAGGGTAAAATCTCAGCTAATGCCATAAGTCTCTAAGAGGCTTTCCTTGGTCCCTAGCATGCGCAGGAGCCTGAGAACATTTAAGTCCACTCAGCCAGGAGGTGGCCAAGGCTCACGGCAAATCCCAGAAGCCACAATTCCTCATTCAGAGGGCCCGAGACCTGGACTCCCTGGCCCTGGAGCGGAGATTGACCCCGTGGCCTGCTGGCTTCCGGAGGGAGGCGTTCTCAGGCTGGGTCGGAAGCCGCTGCATCCGGGTACCTGTCCCTGTCCCTTCTCCAGGTTGTCCTTGTGTGAGCCCATCAGCTCCCTGCCACACAGACAGGGGCCACCTCCCTCCATGGGGGCTGGCAGTCGCTGCCCTGCCGCACCAGCCCAGGGAGTCCGGTAGGTTCTTGACAAATCACCTGACTCCCCACTTCCCTCCACGTGCAGGTGTAGTTAACCACCAAGTTAACCGAGTCCGCCACCACCCGGAGCCCCAGGGTGCGCTCTGGTTGTGCCTCCACCCTGCCCTCTCTCCTTCACTCTGCCTCCCCAGAGGGACCTTTTAAAGACAGCACGAGGAGGCCCTTGCTGCGTGCCCACCTGGGCTCTCCACGGGCGTGGCCCCGCTGCACTGCTCCCCACAGCCCACACCAGCCATGCTCTCTTAAGGGCCTCTTTGGGCCCAGCTCAAGTGTCCCCCAGGCCTGCCTAGCCACACTGCTGTGCCTGTCACCTTCCTGTCACCCGGAAGGGGTCTGACTGTAGCACTTAGAACAGGAGCCAGGGAGTTTTTGCGCGAGAACCCGGGGTGCCTTCCCTGGAACCAGGCTTAACAGGCGTTGTTCTCCCTTCTACAGGCTACGGGGTCCGGGTGATGAAGCCGCCCCACGTCATGCAGGTGGCAGAGATGGGCATGCTGCCCAGCCTGCGAGCTCCGCAGGAGCAGGGACAGGTGCTATCTTGGGCTTCCTGAGGAGACCGTGCCTGGAGGGGGCTGAGCTGAGTGGGGGACATCGGCTCTGCTCCCCTCGCAGCCGAAGGCCACTCACGGACTGAGGGAAGTGGAGCCGGCTGCCTGGGACTCCTGGTCCGGAGTGCAGGAGCAGAGTTTCCCGGTTTGCAGTCATTCACAGCATGAGAACCCGGCAACCGGGCCTTGGGGCGATACCGCGGGCCTGGGAGCGTGCCTGGCTCCCGCGTGTCCTGCACTGGCCAGCTTCCTGGGCCTCAGCCTCTCCCCCCCCCCCCCCCCATGGTGTCTCTTCCTGCTGGGACATGGTGCCGCGAGGATGGGTTCCCGGTGCAGTCAGTAACATCTCCTTCCGCTCCGGAAGGTGTTCCCAGGAGCACTGCCGAGAGGCCCGGGCCCCACCAGGGACAGTAGTAGCCGCGGCGTCAGGTGCAGCTTATGCCCCTGGGCAGAGCCTCCCCTTTCTGGGACCCTGATGGTTGGGGATGAGGCTCTGTGTGATGTCCCCGAGTTGCCCTACGGGTCAGAACTGACCTCTCACTGTGTGGGGAGTCACGCAAGGAGTCCACAGAGTCGTGGTAGGGTGGCACGGCGGCCCTGCGCCGCTCCTCCAGGCTGTAGGCTGCTGCCCGCCGGGCCCGGGCCTCCACACACGCCGGGCTGTTGCACTTGCTGGTGCCCACTGAGGACAGCATGATGCCGGACTGGGAGTCGGAGGTGAGGCTCTCAGAACGTTCCAGGCTCCACGTGTGGCTCTCATGTCTGGGAAGGCCGGATGGGGGTGAGTGGGCAGGGGGGACATGACCGCCTCTCCTGGGCTCCCTGGGCTGGTATGCAGTGTCCCCGAGGCCCAACCCCATGGTGACAGGGGGCTGGGCAAGCTGCAAGGTACAAAGGACCCTTCCTTTCCTCGCTGCCACCAGCCTTGTCCACCCGCAAGGGTCCTGCACCGTGACTGTTAGGATCTTGGTCCCAGTGGCCCCTCTGTGGACGCCTCAGGGAAGGAAGGAGCTGCCTGTTTCTGGCGCTGCGGTGCTTGGTGCTTACATGGGCAGTACCCAGCACCCTGTCCACCCCCTCACTCTGAAGACTCAGGTGCACAGCAGCCTGTGCCAGTGGCTGCAGATGGTGGCAGGTGGCTGAGTCATGAGGTGGCGGCACTGGGTGGCCGAGGTACAGGGGTCTACACGCTTCTGGGGGCCTTGGGAGGGGGCCCACCTGTGGCTGGAGGTGGGCGTGGCTGTGGAACAGTGGTGAGAAGGAGAACAGGAGTGGCTCCCCGAGAAGGTGGTCTCAGTTTCCCTGCGGATGACGTGGTCTGTGGCAGGCACGTTCTTGGAGATGTACTGCAACAGACAGGGCCGGGCTGGGTGAGTGGGACTCGGCCCTTGGGGCCTGCTCACCTGAGCAGGGGAGATGGTGGCACAGCAGTGGCCCCTGCAGCTCCGCGCCCAGCCTTCCTCTGGAAGTGGTGAGAGCGGGACTGGCCACCTTGCGGCCACCTTGCCAGCTGCTGCCCCAGCCTCCCCCCCCACCCAGAGGGCACAAGAAGGCTGGCTGTCCAGCGAGGGCTGGGGGCGGGGCCGGGGAGCACCACTCACGTCTGCCATCTGGATCTCCTCGGGGTCCAGCCGGGGGTGGCTGGGCCCGTTGGCCAAGATGCGGTTCTGGTGGGCTGGGCACATGTTCTGCCGGAGGTGGTTGTGCATCTGCTTCCGCTGTTTCCTGCACCGGGGAAGGGTGGGTGAGCGCCAGGCTGACCCGCCAGGGACCTCTGCCCTGGAGCCCTCCCATCTGCCCCTGGACTAGTCGCACCTTGAGCCCAGCAGGGCCTGGGTGCTGTGGAGCCCTGGGCTAGTAACGGAGGTTCTCTGTTCCACTTTGCCAGCTGCCCATTCCAAACTGCTGCGGGTTAGCATTTATAAGATACTCAGTCACAGTGCAGACTCCCTCCTACCCCTAGTCATGGACTTGGTATTGCTTGACTGTGTTCCATAGTTAGGAGGCCGCAGGCCCGCAGGGAGAGGTGATAAATGCTTACAGAAATGGGGGCTGGCGCGGTGGGTCCAGCTTATTGCTGGGACTGCCTGGAGTCCTGTCAGCGTCCTTTCTACTCTGTGCTCCTGTCCACTTTCCTGCTCACGTGCCTAGGGGGCAGCAAACGATGGCCCAAGGACTTAGGTTCCCACCACCCATTTAGGAGACCCAGAATTCCTGGATCTCAGCTTCAGTCTGGCCCAAACGTGGCTGTGGCTGTCATTTGGCGAGTGAAGTAGTGGATGGAAGGTTCCCTCTCTCTACCTCTGTCACTCTGCATTTCAAATAAATCAATCAGTCTAAAAACAAAGAGGGGCCGGAGCTGTGGTATAGCTGGTAGAGTCACTGCCTGGGATGCCAGCATCCCATGTAGGTGACGGTTCGTGTCCCAGCTCCCTGGGAAAGCAGTGGAAGAAGGCCCAAGTGCTTGGGTCCTTGCATCCACGTGGGAGACAGGGAAGAAGCTCCTAACTCCTGGCTTTGGTCTGGCCCTGCCCTGGCTGTTGTAGCCATTTGTGGAGTGAACCAGCGCACGGAAGATCTGTCTCTCCTTCTCTTTCTGTAACTTTCCAATAAATCAATCTTTTTTAAAGAAAGACAAACTAGAGACTTTCAGTAAAGGGCTCCAAAGAAAATAAAGCACCGTGCTATGGGTCGGGGTCAGGGGTCAGAGGTCAGGGCTCACATTTGTTTCAAAATAAACACGTCTAATCATGGAATTCCCCTGCTGAAAGCCCTTCCTCAGCCCCCTATGCGCCATTTCTTTCCCCAACCCCAGGTCTCCCTGGGCTCCACCCCCAGCTTGCTGCATCCTGGGATAGCTTGTTTCCAAGTCCCCCCCCCCCCCCCCGTCCTGCTCTGGCTGGCCTCCGGGCCTTTGCACATGCCCATCCATTTACCTGCAACACCTGCTAAGTCCTCACCTCTCAGCCCCCAGCCCAAGTGCTGCCCTCCAGCTGAGGTTAGCTGCCTCTAAAACACGTCCTGACACTGGGCCCTGCTCAGAGTCAAGTGGGCAGGACCTGGTGTCCCACGAGCCTTGATTGAAGGCTTGTTGAAACGAGGAAATGCGGTGGAGTCAGAACGGGGGGCTGGCTTTGCCCCAGTTCTCGGACTTCGTTTTCTCTCTTGGACCTGATCTCTTGCCTGGGCTCAGGCACCTTGCTCCTCACCCACCTTGCTCCTCTGTAGCAAGGACAGCAGGGCCTTCGACCCACAGATGGGGCAGCCCCTCAAGTGCTGGTGATGTCCAGACCCCTCATTTCCAGATTTGAACAGATGGGCCAGACCTACGCACTACATCACTCTACAGCCTTCACTGGCTCCCCCTCAGCTTCAGAATAAACTCAGGTGCTGCAGCTTGGCTCTTAAAGCCCCTGGTGCCACTGGGTCCTGCCTCTCTCTCTAGACTCAGGTAGCCCGGGCTGCTCACGCCCGGGAACGCAGCTCCGCCTCGGCTGTGCTTGCACTCTTCCAGCTACACTGCCTCTGGCACTTGTCCTTGCTCCAGGGTTCGGGGAGCCCCTGTGGCACCCCAGCTCCCCCGCTTCCCTCCGTCACTCCCAGGCTAGCGTTGCGCAGTACCCTTTGAGGTGTCCTTCGTTGGGAATGCAGCTCCCTGCCGGGCCAGCACCCTGAGAGCCTGCCTGTCTACGAGGGCAGCTGCACGCTCCGTGGAGGTCCACACGGGTGGTTCCCACGCGGACGCGGAGAAGCTTCTCGGGTTGTTCAAGGTCACGTGGGGTTTGAACCCGCCGTGCCTGCCGCCTGCCCAAGCCTGTGCTCTTGCTCACTCCTGGCTCAGTGCTCTGGGGCTCACCTGCCCCACCGTCCGCTCCCGCTCGTCGGCCTCAGATGGGCCACAGAGGCCCCTGCCTAGCCGGTTGAGGGCCGGGGCCATCCCCCCCGGGGCGGGCACTCACTTGGTCTTGCAGTAGGCTACCACACAGACGATGCCCACAACCAGCAGAGCCACGCAGATGCCAGTGATGGTCAGGACCCGCTTCTGGTACAGCTCCTCAGCTTCTGCAGAGGCAGGGCGGGAGTGAGGGCAGGGAGGCAGGCAGACGTCAAGGGGGACGCAGAGACCCCTGACGCCAGGTGCCCTGCCCCGCCCCCTCCCAACCCAACTCAACCCTCCCCACCCCCGCCTACCGCCACCGTGCCTTCTGCTTCTCCCAGCTCCCGCCTACCCATGGTCTAACCACCTGAGTTCATCTTCCCCGTCTCATGCCTGCCCAGAGCACACCAGTGGAAAATGCAGGATGGGAGGGGATGGAGTGGAGGGAGAGCTCCCAGGACCACAGAGTAAGGGGTGGGGCACCCTCCCCCCGGCCAGGACCCCCGCCCAGCCCCACCATAGCCTGGCAGCTACAGAAAACATGGGTGGCCGTAGGCGCTGCTCTTCAGGGCAGCGACCTGCAGAGCCTGGGCACGGGCTGGGCTCAGCCACCTCGGCTTCCCTGAGAAGGAGGCGACTGGCTGCTTCTGGGCTGGGGACGGACATCAGACCCAGGGGCCATCTTCAGGAGGGAGCGGGCCAGGCCTGCAGAGCACGTGTGGGGAGAAAGGCCTGTGCTCACTCTACCCTCCCGTCTCGGCCATGAGAAGGCACGCAGAGGCAGCCCAGCCCTCAGCCCAGCTGTTGCACCGTGAAACCCTCCAAAAGGCCCTCCCTGCCCTCCTGAAACAGAGACAGCAGGAGGAAGAGGAGGAAAGAGGTGACCACACCAGCCACACAAGGCTGCAGCCCCAAGAGCCCGCCCTGTGACCCCTGCAGCTGCCAGCTGCCCCCCCCCTCCTGGCTGGGGCTAAGTGGGAGCAGGGCCTCCGTGCCCAGGTGGAGCCCTGAGAAATGTCCCTCATCTCTTCGGCTTGTGGCATCTCCTGTGGCACAGGAATCCAAACCAACAAACACCAGATAGACATGCAGCGCCAACCACACCTGAGCCACAGCCAGAGCCTTCACGAAGCCCACTTGCGCACACCCCTAGAGCCAGCCACACACACATGCCCGCTGACCGCAGCCAGCTGCCCGCCGTGGCCGTCATCGCCACGGCGCTCCTGCTCAGTTCTTTCCAGTCAAGCACCTGTCTGCGTCACATCTCGGGGTCCACTCATGTCATCAAAGACGACCTCCATGGTGCTGAGTCCCGTGGCCACTGCGGCCCCTCAGCTGGCTCCCTCCCCCGGCGCCTGCTGCCTCAGGGCCTTTGACCACATGTTCCGCCTTGAGGTCCTCCTTCACTGGCTGACCTTTTGTCTCAGTTGCTGCTTCCTTCTCTCAGACCTGGGCCCAGGTCTTCTGACCCTTCTCCACCTGTCCCCGTCACTGGCCACATCACACGCAGACTTGAAAGGCCAT